TTTGAAAAGAATTTGAAATGGCCTATAATTCACTTCGAATATCTATATCATATCTCAGTTTCTGGTTTGTTTTTATATAATGATATATCTTCACCTGTGTCTATATATCTCCTAATAACCCTGGTTAAAATATAATTTCCTCAAAGAGAAGACAAGTATTATATTTTCTGTTGAAGATATCTTGATGGAAATCACCATCACAGTATCTTGGGGCAAAACCCCATCTCAATGAGGCAGAAAAATTTATGACAGAGTAAGAAGTTTTTAAAAGAAAAATGTGAGCACCAACAATGGAGTTTTCCCAAGTCATTATTCCATTAAGCTATTCATCTGTGCTTTTTGTTCATTGATTATAGTAGAGGACCCATTATTGACCATACTACATGTTAGATATACATGTAGGGACACAATGTGTATAGGATGTAGTCCATGAGTGTAATACATTCCCATTTCAGAGGAGGAGATAGACTTGCACTCAAGCAGTTGTTTGCATGGTTCTATGGGGAATGCTTTAAGAGATGCCTGCAACAGGTACACAAGAGGAGCCCAAAAGATGAGTGATAATCCCCTGGTTGTTATCAGTAAGGTATAAAATTTTAGAAATAGGTAATATTTCAGTTAAATCTTCCAATCAGTATAGTTAAAAAAAAATTGCACTGGGCTGATCTTGGCTGTAGTTTTATTAAATATTATATGATCAGAATAATGAAATTCACTTTAATTAATTTTTATGGGCAGTTTTTGTCTTCTTACTATTCTGATACATTTGGAAATAAATCAGAATAATTTAATTATAGAAATGAAATGAAAGACACTATATTGTTAAAGCTAAAATATAATCACTAACATTATCGAGGAGCTTACTATGTACTGAGCATGACATTAAATGTTCTGCATACAAGCATCTCATTAAGCTGGTCCAAGACAATATGAGAGGCAATAGAAATTTCTATTTAATAGATGAGGAAATTAAAGTTCGGAAAGGTAAATACCTTTCCCAGAGTTACATCTGATTGAAACTCAAATCAGGGCTTTCTGATTTTTAAATGTATGTTCCTAACAGTTATGAGATACGACATTTCCCTATTACCCAGTGCAGCATTACTCAGAGTGTGAACCACTGAGCAGCAGTAGCAGCATTAGCTAGGAATATGTTAGAACTGAAGAATCCAAGGTTCCACCCCAGATCTTCTGGAAAAAATCTGGATTTAACCCAGATCCTGGGTTGTTCATATGCATAATAACGTTTATGAAACATTGGTTTAGTCTACTCCCTACTACTATAAATGCAATACAAATTATTGTTTGCCTCCTGCTTAGAGAGAAAGAAAATTATTTTATGTGGCAGTTTGTTTCACTTGCTAACTTGCTAAGGAAGCCTGTCTCCCTGTAGCAGAAACAAGATGCCCTCCCTATAGTGAGTATACTTTTCTTTTGGCACAATGGGACATGCATTTCACAGCTCTTTCCTGTGTCAAATCTTCACCTATGTGGGCCCAAATGTGAATACATAGAAGCTCTTTTATTCTTCATGTTCATCTAATTACCTCAATTTCTTTTATTTTAATGATGTCATGTGTAGCCCTCATCTTTGTGGTTCCTCATTTATGGGCCAATTGTAACTCAACATTGTCCCTCTTAAAAAAAAAAAAAAATCCTATGCAATGAACCAACTAATGCAGATGTGTTCTCCCTGAGGGCAAATACAGTTAAACAATCACTTTCTGTGATGTGAATGTAACACCAACATCTACAGCATCTCATTAAGCCAGCAATCAGCTCAAATGCCAGATGCTATTCCCAGACACGAAAACAAATCATCTCCATGTTATCTCTATTTATGGCCAGATTTGGGGAAGAAGACCCTATGCATACCCCTTCACATTTTGCCAGGGTGTAGGAAATCATGTATCTGAAAGTCAGTCTTTCTTGAAAACTCCAGTAATTTTCTCCTCTGAGAGCTTCAGACATTTAGACATTCACTGAGTAATTACAAATTTTCATTGTGAGTCATTTAGGCAGGACTAGCAGGATTCATAAATGTAGGAAAGATCTACCTTTCATATGTCCTTTAAATAATGTTAGCTGAGCATCTAGGTCCTAGGGAAGCAAGCATGAGTAAGTAAGAGGTCTTGCTTATGGGAGGTCACAAACTGGAGAAAGAGAAACAGATAAGTAAGAAGATTATCACCATAAAAAGATTGTGCACAGTTCTAAGGGGAATAAATGATGAATTGCCTAGGGGAGGAGAAAGAGGCTTCATAGAGAAATGGCATTTGAGCTGTCATATAAGGGTGATTTTGCTAGTCAAAGAAGACAGAAGCCATTCCAGGTAGAGGACCAGGTTGTGAATAGGCAGAGAAAAAGTAACATTATGATAGAATATTTAGAAAATGGTGAAGAGTCTAGTAAGTTGGATTTAGGAGAAGGGAGAGTGAAAGCTACAGACAATTTATTGCCAAGTAATATTTTAAGGAGTCCTTGTACAGTAGACAATGTATTGGGAATTGTATTCTTTACACACAGGGGAGTCATGAAAGCTTCTTTTTAAATAGAGGATATTACAATCCCATTTATGATTGGAAGTAAAACTCTGCTGGTAAGTTGGACAATAGATTTGAAAGGGACAGAAACTGAAGGTTGAAAAGGGCTCACTGGAGGTTGGAACCATAGTCCATAAAAGAGTTGTTGAAAGTGCTGTCTGATCAATGCTTGTAAAATGTATCATCCAGATATAAATGGCCAAAACACATTAACAATAAGAAAAGCTTTGCCAACACAGCTGTTTGACTCCTAAACAAAACAAATGCTTAAAGCTCCTGGAAATTATAATAGAATTAATTTCAGCTCCCTAACGGTAGGGGAAAATCCTCAAGCACATTTTCTGCTGAGCATTTCACTGGATGAACGAACCAGAAAGCCTGAGTACATATTGTTAATGAAATGCATAAATATTCTACCCATTCAGAAGAAATTTGTACTGTAAATCCAAGGATGGAAAAAAACAGCTTTGAGAATAAACACTAAATGAGAGGAAAGTCAGATCATATTCAGAAAGAAATATAAACACATAAACCCCTGTGTATTATAACCAAGCAATCACTTAACCAGCAGGGAGTGAAAGTTTATAAACCCAACAATCTCACTGGGGTTTTTGAGGATTCTAAATGCAATTCAAATTACTTTACAATTTTCAATATGTTTTCCCACCCAGTGTCTCATTTAATCCACACACCTCTAAAAGATTGCTGCTATTGTCCACATTTAACAGGATGAGAAAAATTTAGGTTCTGAGGTTGAATAACTTATTTAATTTTCAAGTCTCTGTGGTACAACAAAGACGGAAACAAAGGCTTCCCTTAGTGTAAACCACAGAAATTGCCAATTGTTAGGTTAAAATGTTTAAATATTGGTAACATTGTATGGTTCAACCTGATAGATTCCAAGTACAGTGCTCTAAGATTATCAATCAACATGTAATTTTATTCTGGTTCCATGATTTCAAAGGCAAATTAGTTCAAAATGTCAAATGAAATATCAAGTAAAATGGTTCTAGATCTCAGTTCAGCTGCTCAGGAAACTGGTTCATATTTGTCACTGAAATGCATATTAAACTGAAAGAATAGATATTTACAAACCTTCCTTTCTCTTATTTTTATGAGTATCAATGAATATTCTCATTACTCATAGATTGTCATCTCTACAATATTGTAGTTTAAAAGATAATATGTTAAAGTCATATTATGTGTGATAACATGTTATACACCTATTTACACATGTAAAGCACACATAACTATTCTATGCTTTGTTCCAGTTCAAAATATCCTTTTTATTAACATGTAGCATTTTATGAGCTACATTTTACTTCCAGGTTTTTGGAAATTAAAAAAAAAAAAAAGATGTTCAGTAATATAATTGTAAAGAGGAGCCTGGGCCCTATAAATCATGATAGCTTATGAAAAAAAGTGATATAAGATCCCTTGCAGGGAGGACCCAATCAAGAACTCTTCGGATCATGTCCTTCTGCTTATAAGGTGAAGGCCACAGATTTCTAAGGACCTTAACTTTGTTATTTGCTTCTAATTGAAAGAATGTGCCTACAACGAGTACAAAGAATTCTCATTATCTGAACTTCCATCTCAGCCCTTGAGGAAGTTGGCTCCACTAGTGACCTTTAACTGGTTTGTTTCCTTGGCACACTTTCTAGTGACTGCATAAGGAGACCAAAGCTATCCACGTGGGCATACAGTCTTTGCAAAGAACGTAAGTAGACCCAACCCAGTATCCATTGGATATGTGCATTTACAGCATCAACCAAAGATCAATCAAATGCAAAAGGCAAAGCAACCTATCTTGAAACAATTCTGAACATCAAGAGGGAGTATATTTATGTTGAACTGAAATACGGCACCGGTAATTAATAGGCCTTCGATTTCCAAAAATTTCAAATAAAAATGTCTCTTCCTCTTTCACCTGGCATCAGGTATTCTACACTGGTCTTATCCCCCCCCCCAGACTAAAATCTGCACCAGTTCTATCATCTGTTCCTTATATGATATAACGTGAATTCCTTCAATAACCTGACATTTTCCTCTGATATTCCCATGTGATTTTAAACGTAGCAATCAGGAATGCCTTCCTTCTCACCTAAAGTAATAACCAAACTATGTCGCTCTCCCACTTAAAAGCCAAAATTATTTTTGAGTCACCTTCAGAATAAAGGATGAAATCTTGCCTGTCACATTTAATGCCCATGATGTTATATGTGCCAATCTCTTGTCTGACTCACTCATAGCACCCCTTGACATTGCACCTCTGCAGAAGAGCCTTGTTTTCTTGCTGCTTCTGGCTTTCCACAGGCTGTGTTTTTCCCTTTTCTCATAGAGAAGCCCTACAAAACTCAATTCAGATCACCTCTTTGAGTAAGTCTTTCTTTACTGACTGAGGGTCAGGTAGGGGCTGTCCCAGTGTGTTTCACCCTCTCCACGCCTGCTACTTACCATACAGTAATGCGTTTGGAACTTTCTTTCTCTGTCTTCTTCCCAGACATGCACAAATGGATTATGACTCTGAGGGTGGGCACTGTCTCTTCATCTCATGTTCCTCTTTTCCTATATCATTCCTGATAGAACAAAAGCCTGCGTTAAGAAACAACTTAAAACTAACGCATCTTAGCAGTTGGGGAGGGACAAAGACTAAATACATAGAGCAGACTTTAATGGCTGTAGACTGTAAATCCTTGGATCTTAAAATAGGTTTCCAGCTGATTAACAGTCCCACTCTACTGGGCCAACTCACTCACCAGGTTGGACATGGGTCACTCTCTTGCAAAAAAAAAAAAAATGCTTAAAACACCCTGCTCAGAGAGGGGATGTGTTATGGCTCCATGACTAGAAAGTTGTCATTTCCCATCTCTGAGCTCCCACACAGTCCTAGTCCTTACTACTAACACACACACACACTTCAAAGCCATGCTTAAAACTGGACGAAATAAAGCTATGTTGAAGATAAGCAAATTATATTCTGCTTTCTTCTCCTTTTTATTTTTACCTGACAATGTCAGGGTGATCTTAACTCCCAGGATTTTAAACAGTTTGAATGCACTTCTTGAATACCCAGCCAACAAGATAAAAAGTGAGACTTCAGGTCAGGAGGAAAATGGTTATTCTCTGAATAGGATTAGGGTTGGCTTCCAGTGATGTGGCAATTTGATTATGGAACAATCAAGTCAGAGAAAGTGTGTTTAGATGAATTTCAAGAAACAGGAAACTAAAAGCTTCTTTATTCTGAACCAAAGGACGACAACAGAAGCCATCCCTAAAAGGTGAAAAGATTTATAAATAAGTATATAGTAGCCCTGTGCAGAATCTCTAATATTTTCTAGCCCCACTCCCCTACCTAAATACTAATTCGTCATGGAATTCAAAATCCTTCATAAGCTGGCCCCTTCTTAACTCCAAGTCAACTGACGTGGGTGTCATTTAAAAAGGTAAGGCTATGTGGATCCACACCCAGAGATTCTATTTTAGTTGGTATCAAATGGGACTTGGCCATGGACATTTTTTAAAGCTCCTAGGTGATTCTAATGCTTTTCCAATATTGAGAGATTATGCCGCAGCCTCAGCTCAACTCTGTCTTTTGCTCGTACCGTAAATAGCAGTGTTTTTAATGTAGCATTTAGAGGTGATATTTACCTTTATTACACGGTTTGCTTCAATGTGAATGACACTTGCGTCTGTCAGCTGATACTGGCTCTATACTAATTGCTGCTTTAAGTCACTAGGTAGCCTCAAGAAATAATAAATAATAATAATTATAGACAATGTTTATTGATGTCCTGTTCTAAGCACTTTAGAAGTAATAATTTATTTAGTCCTTAAAATAAGCTGACTTAACTACTCTTATCATCTCATTTACATTTTACAGATAAGGAAACAGAGGCTCAGAAAAGTTGGAATAATTGACTTATGATCACAGAGTCAATAAAAGAGAAGATTGTGTCCTGTGAAAACCAGCAATTCACTTTGACGCTTGTTCAGAATGATCTGATACGCACTCAGTACAGTAGGAGATAGAAAGGCAGGTCCAAGACTGTGGGCAGTGGTTTTAAGGACCTGGTTTAAACTCGACTCTGCTGCGTACCAGCTGTGTGGTCTTCCATAAAATATCTCAACTTTTTGACCTTCAGTTTCCTGATTTGTTTAAATGGGGATTTCAATGGTTTCAACCTCACGGTGACTTTACTAAGACCCTAAATACCTAAATAACTTAGCAATAGGGACTCACAGAGTTTAATGGCAGAAGAATAATTAAAACCTAGTCATTTTGACTTATAATTTCATTTTCTTTTTAGCATAGTGTCTGTTATTTGAAAGCCAGGTTAGAAGTACCTTTAGTACTTAAGTAAAAAGCAAATATTTTCTAACTGTGTGAACATAAGACCCGGTATAGATAACATATCAATTATCTGTAGGTGGTTAGCTTAGGTGCTTAAACTAGTTAATGAGTTAACTAAAAACTCAATGGGGATCCTCTTTGTTAGTGCTTTTTTTTTCCTTTTTCTTTTTCTTTTGGAAAAGCACATGGAGCCTGCCAGTGACCTATCAATCTTCAGATCCCGACATGAGATTTTGCAGGTTTTAAGGCCAAGAACCCCTCTAGGGTCAGATAGGTGCTTCTTCCTGCTTTACACTGCATGCCACAACATAAGGATATGAGTCATTACCTGGGCCACGAGGACACCCCATTCTAGCTTCTGTGCTTTCTGATTGACCCCTTTCTGCATTATAAGCTCTTGGTCTTCATTATGTTCTGGAAAGCAATGAACCACAGACAGTACAAGGAGACTTATAAAGAGGACATATGGTTTATGTGTAACCCCATCTATAGCTCCATTCACCTGCAAGGCATCTGCTCTGAAACTACAGTGTGTGGCCAAATAGTAATTTAATATAAAAGCCAAAACCAATTATCTTATTTTATTAAGCTTGGGACATTTCACTTTTGTCTGAATGAGATAATTTGGCATTCAGTACTTCAGTGTGCTAGTAGAACTTGGTCTTATTGAAAATAAATTGAAATTCTATTTTTCCGTGTTATACAAAACATGCTGCTCTTCATTGAGGCAACCTGCCATTGATTTTCTAACTATGTTTTCAATATATCCAATTCATGATCTGAAAATTAAAATAATATTTACCTTATGAATAATTTACATATCTACTGATAGCTAATGTAATTATCTCTAATCCTAGTATGGGTGCTATTCTGTATGGTCCTTCAACTGTCACAAAAATAATCCATGAGATAGCATACTCATCCTCATTTTCAGAGAAGTAATCTAAGCAGGGGAGGGAAAACATTTGCCTAACTCACACAGCTAAAATTCCTCTAACCACTGGACTACTTTAGCTTTCTCATAATGGTCTCGCTCTCCATATGAAACATAAAGTACTTCTTTATCTTTTGTGTTTCAATCAGATAGAGTCAATAGAATTGGTATGGACTTGTTAGGCTATCTAAGATGTTAAAGAGTTTGGGGATGCTCATTAGTGGTTTACATGAGTGTGCTAACTGGAAATAACCAACTTCTTAGAAATAATCATTGAGGAAATGATAAAGCCAGAATTCTACGACCCCAAATCAGGACACTGCTCTTTAGGCTTTGCTGAAAACATGCTTTGCCATGAGACATTCACTTAAACCCACAGATTTTTCTTCCTATATCAAATACAGAAAATAATCCCTGTCATTCATATCTTCAGAAGTGTGAAAGACCAGTTGAACTATTTACTGTTTCTTCAAGATGTGTTCTTTGGGGCTCTGGAATTGCAGAAGGGGTCTGAGAGCTAAAAAATAAGCTTCAAAACAATTGAGATGGTGCTTGTGAAAACATGCTTTATGGTGTACAATAAGCAATGGTACTCTTTTTTACTCCTAAGTGTTAGCATAAAATGTGCTTCAGGTTTTCATTTGTAGAGAAGCATTAACGTCATAGAAAAAGCACTGATTTTGATACAAGGGAGAATGCTGCTAGGCTTCTGTGAAACAGAATGAATATATGTCTTATATATTATATCATCATCATTATTATTATAAGAAATTGGCTGATGTGATTAGGGAGGCTAAAAAAGTCCCAAGATCTATAGGCTTGAGACTTAAAAAATATGGATGTTTCAGTTCAAGTTAGAAGACAGGAAATAACTGATGTACTCTGACAAGAGGATTTCCATTTTTTTAGAGATGGGATCTTGCTATGTTGCCCAGGCAGGACTTGAACCCCTGGGCTCCACAAGTAATCCTCCTGTCTCACCCTCCCCAGTAGCTTGAACTAAAATACACTGGGCTCCAGGGAGCCCTCTTACTTACGGGAGGGTGATATAATTTGGATATTGGTCCTCTTTGAATCTCAGGTTGAACTTTGATCCCCAGCATTGGAAGTGGGGCCTAGTGGAAGTTGTTTGCATCACAGGTAGATCCTTCATGCATGGCTCTGTGTTGAGTTCTCACTCTATTAGTTCCTATGGTAACTGGTGGTTAAAAAGAGCCTAGCACCTTCCTCTTCTCTCCTTCCTTCTGCCTCTCTCACCATGTGACATACCTTCCCCTTCTCTGTGTCCTCTGCTGCCGTGATTGGAAGCTTCCTGAGGTCCCTTTCCAGAAGCAGATGCTTGTGCCATGCTTCTTGCACACCCTGCAGAAGAGCCAAATAAACCTCCTTCCCTTATAAATTCATTACCCAGTCTCACATACTTCTTTTTTTCTTCTCAGCACCACATATTGGATTTATCTATATAAATAAATAAATAAATTGCTATTCGTATTCACCTTGGGAAAGCCCTGTATAAGCAAATTATAAACTAGCAATTACGTGTGTGTGTGTGTGTGTGTGTGTGTGTGTATACTTGCACTTTAGGTTCTGGGGTACATGTGCAGAACATGCAGGATTGTTGCATGGGTACCTACGTGGCAAGGTAGTTTGCTGCCTCCATCCCCCCATAACCTATATCTGGCATTTCTCCCCATGTTATCCTTCCCCTACCTCCCTCCCCCCTGCCGTCCCTCCCCTAGTCCCCCCCAACAGGCTCCAGTGTGTGATGCTCCCCTCTCTTTGTCCATATGTTCTTGTTGTTCAGCACCTGCCTATGAGTGAGAACAAGTGGTGTTTGATTTTCTGTTCTTGTGTCAGTTTTCTGAGAATGATGGTTTCCAGATTCATCCATTCCCAACAAAGCACACAGACTCATCATTTTTTATGGCTCCATAGTATTCCATGGTATATATGTGACACATTTTCCTTGTCCAGTCTATCATCTATGGGTATTTGGGTTGGTTCCAGGTCTTTGCTATTGCAAACAGTGCCACAATTAACATATGTGTGCATGTATCTTTATAATAGGAAGAGTTATAATCCTTTGGATATATACCCAGTAATGGGATTGCTGGGTCAAATGGAATTTCTATTTCTAGGTTCTTGAGGAATCCCCACACTGTCTTCCACAATGCTTGAACTAATTTATACTCCAACCAACAGTGTAAAAGTGTTGCCATTTCTCCCTATCCTCTTCAGCATCTGTTGTCTCCAGATTTTTTAATCACCATTCTAACTGGTATGAGATGGTA